TCTTTCCCGGCTTCTCAAAGTTTATGTGGGGTCAATACCACCTTTTGAGCAAGTAGATACTAAACCAGCAGGGAACAAAAACTAAAATCCAAGACCCAAAAAACATGATATAAATATACTTTTCAGTTTTAATGTTGCTGCAAAATGCATGCTATGCTAATTAACACTTAGGAAAGGGACCAAGAGATGGGTTGTTTGTTTTTTAAATACGTTAATACATATATACATATATATAAAAACATATATATAATTAAAGACTAGGCTCTCTTTATACAGAAAGTCATTAGTGTAGTATGGTAGGGATACCTTTAGAAAGTGAATGCAGTGGGAAACTTAGGTATTAAAATTAATACATATGAGAGACTGAGGGGCAGAAGAGAGAGAGAATTGATGGCTTTGGGGGGGATATGTGTTTTTTAGCAGGAAGCTGAAGATTCTTCAAGCACAACTTTGGAGGGTTTTGAGGGAGCCAAAGACCCTGGCACTGTGGAATTTACAGAAGCTGAACTTGGGAAGATAAAAACAGGCCGGGGGCCTACCACTGCAGCCAGTGTGACCGGGTTTTGATGTCTATGCAGGGTCTGCGATCTCATGAGAGGAGTCACTTGGCTCTGGCCATGTTTACCCGGGAAGACAAGTACAGCTGCCAGTATTGCTCCTTTGTCTCTGCTTTCAGGCACAAGTAAGTTATAGTTTGTTTTCAACAGAAGCACACACAGACTAGCATGAGGTTTTTTTATGTTGGTCGACATCAAAGAAGAGCACACTCAATTTGATTTCAAGCCACGTTTTTATCTTTCTCAGGATTTAGGTATTTTCTATGCCCCCAAACTTTATGCTATTGCCTATGACTATAAAAAGTCCCATATCTTCTTGAATTCAAGTTCTCTTTTTGTTGTGTGTAGGGGAAATGCACACCAAGCAAAAGATGCCCACCACTTATGCAGTCCTGTCAAATGCATGAAATTAAAAAAAGCCATAAAGAGGAAAAAGTATTTTTCACTAGCCTTCCATGTAACTATCTTATTTTTAAATAGTACTGTGACTCTTATTTGACTGAGACATTTCATTTCTAGTGCTGAACAGTTATCACAAACCAATCTTAAAGTTAGATTTGTTTTTAATTTGTGTTATGCTGTCGTGGTTTAGCCCCAGCTGGCGA